CGCTCGGGCCCGAGGGCGCGTCAAGGGCGGGGCCTGGGGCGGGGCCTGGGGCAATGTAGGACGCTAAGAGGCCGGGAGGGGCGGGCTCAGAAAGTGCAAGGGGCGGGGCCTGGGGCGGAGCCGGGGATGAGGAGAGGAGTGGGACAACAGGCCGGAAGACAGGAGGGGAGGGGAGGGAAGGGGACAGAGAGGAGGCGGGCTGTGGGCGTTCAGGAGCTTGGGGAGACCCAGCTGGAAGTGAGCTGGGGTAAATGAGCACCTGGCGCAATTTAAGAGCAGGGGCGGGAGCAGGGGACCAGGAGGGCCCCGAGGAGTCCAGGGGCAGAGGAAGGGCGGAGAAAGCTGAGAGTCACCCAGGCCTTAGAAATCTAACCTACTCCCTCTAGAACCAGAGTGTCTACAAAGAAGTTATGTTTCCTCCCCAAATGTGCATTTCAATTGCACACATCTTACTCTTCCTCCAGGGACACCCAGGCTCAACCAATCTTTTCACGAGTTGACCCTGTAACTTAAGGTCTTGGGTCTAGCTCAGTCAGTTCTCCCTAGATCTTCCTTAGATCTTCCGTCACAACGGCAGAAATTTGCTAGCCCTCCTATCTTGCTGTTGGACTAGCACTCCTTTAGAGCTGTAAAGCTTGCTGCTCTATCGAGGAATCCCAAACATCTCTCGAAGTCCTCAAAACGTGGTCCTACCCATTTGACAGATGGGCCATCTAAGATCCAAAGGAAATTGTATGAAGTGCCCAAGGCTAGACACAACCCAGCAAACTCCTGCTCCACGTCTCCCAACTCCTACCTTGGGCTCTTTTATACAATATAGTCTCTCCAAGAGCATGCGTTCTGAATAATACTTGTAGTCCATATCAATGAAATGGACCAGAATTCAATTTTTAACTCCTTTACTTTTATTAGGCAACCATGGGAAAAGTCCTTAACAGCCCTGAGTTTCTGTTAGTCATCAACAAAAGAGGAGGTAAACACCTACTTTGGTAGTTGCAACCTCCATGTGTCTAGATGCTGGCAGGAAACACACAGGAGGGTGAGAGGCTGGGATCTCTGGGGTAGGGGGAGGGACACTGGGGCAGCTACCACTCAGTGCCAACCTGTCGTTACCTGTCTCTCATTTTTTAATAAAAGCCAGAAATCTATTTTTTGTTTGGTTAGCCAGATTAAGCACTCTGTGGATAAGATGACACCTGTGGGCACTGCTTTGGGACTCAAGATCCAGCTCACATTAAAAAAAAAAATTGTGTATATATATGTATATATATTTAAATTTATTTATTTCCTTTGATGAAGCAATGGTCACACTACACAATCCTTTCTTCTGCATTTCTTCATCCTGTCAAGCTTTTGAGTACTCAGGCATACCAGCCCAGCACTGTAGAGGCCACTCATGTGGAATCAGCCTCCTTTATCTGGGTTAGGGGGTCTGTCTCATCTCAAATTCTTCTTTTGAGAATTAAATGAGATGACATTCCTGTCTGCCTGACCCAGAGTGGTCCTCCATGAACCCTAATCTCTCTCCCTGTTCCCCTATACAATACACCTTCTCTTCGTTGCCTACTTCTTGCCTGTCTTCTCATTACTCCCTCAGCATAATACAAGTTTATTTGTGTCTTCTAGACACCGTTAGATTGCCCCAGACTACAGAGGAAATGAATTTCAACTGTTGAACTTGCTTGGATAAATTGAGAGGATGAGAGATTGACACCCTGGTTGTCAATGTGCAGATGGTGCTGACGGAGAGGTGAGGACGCCACCTACTGGAATAGTGGTTGGAAGCTTTATTTTCCTCCTGGTGATCTGTGTGACAAGACACAGCCACATAGTGAACTAGTTGAGCAGGGCAAAAGGTCATGCTTTTTCCATCATGGAGAGATCAGTCAGATTAGACAAGAAGGAAAAAAAAAAAATCTCCTTGACCTTTAAATTGCCCCCCCCCAACTCCCACTGAAAAGCCCTTCCCTGTAATGGGACCACACATGGAAAGTGTGATATGACAGCATATTCCCAGGCAAAAAGCAAACCTCAGGGTCCTGAAGCACATACAATGGGCATTTGCTCATTCAGCAGATGTTTCACAGAGGCAATAAAGGAATGAATATCTGTGATTTTTTTCTATATTTAATTTCCTGACCCAGTGATATGTGATCTCATTGCTTCTATCAAATACATTTTCCCCCAGCTATGCCTGCTGGTGCCTTCACCACCACAAGAAAAAAGAGGCAAGAAGTATCCTGAGGTGAGATGCTTCTCCAGGACTGATGTAAGTTAAAAAAAAAAAAAGAAAAAAAAAAAGACTTCCTTTCCGAAAGCGCATGTGTGTGCATCCAGCAATTGAACTTTTAGATTAGGAGTTTAAGAAAGTCCTGTGAGGGGCCAGCAGGTTTTATGGTGGTTAAGGTGCTGGACTCCCACATGGTCAACCGTGGTTTGAGTCCCAGACCTGGTGGTTTGCTTTCTCTCTCTCTCTCTCTCTCTCTCTGGTGAGCATGTGTGCCCTGTAATACAATTTAAAAATAATAACATTTATAAATAAAATTAAATAAACAATTCTTTAAAAAGAAAAAAAAAAGTCTGTAATTTTTTTGTTTTACTTTGCTCCACTCTGCAGTTATCTACTGTGTATAAAATCAGCCCCAATTTGAGACCTATACTGTCCATTGGGCATATATCTCTATTTGTTTCAGGGACTCTCCCTCTTAATACACACTTACACCCCTTCCCATCTCTGCTCATGGTGTGACTGTCTGATGTTCAGTCTTTTGTTTGGGGAAATGAGATTTTCATTGTTTTTAAATTGGGCCTACTGTCTTCATTGTATGTGTGGGTAAATGTGGATTTTGATTGTTCCTTTACAATGGTCTTGGGACCAGCAGTTGGCGTAATGGTTGTATTGCTGGACTTCCATGTAGTCGACCGCGGTTAGAGTCCCAGACTAGGTGGCTTAAATTCATGCTGGGTGCATATGCATGCATGCCCACAATCCTGAGAGGAGAGTGGAGAAAGGATTGCAGCATGGCCCTCCCCTCTGGGGGGTGATTTCTCGCTTTCTGTCTCTCTTTTTGGCGAGTGCACGTGCCCAATAGCTAAAACCTCTCCAAAAAAAAAAAAAAAAAAAGAAGATTATTACAATGTTCTTGTAACCCTGCTTAGGCACATCCTCCATTTCACAGAAAATAGGACAGAAGTATTAAAAAGGAAAGGCACAGCTCGGGAAATTTTTCCTGGGAAAATCTAGCGAACTTCCAATGTCTTTGACTCCAACCATGCCTCAGTATCCATGACCTTGCCCCTCCGTCCTCAGAAAGCCCACGCTATCTTCCGCTGGCACGGTGAGGACCTCCAGTGCAGTGACCCACCTGAGGCTACTACATCCTATATACGGCCTTCCTGTTCCATTTTTATTTATTTATTTTTTTCCTTTTTAAAATAACTGTAGAGTCCAGCAGGTGATGTAGTAGTTAACATGCCGGACTCCCACATGGACCTGGAGGCTTGAAACTCACACGGGACACATGTGCGTGCATGCCCAAAATTCCAAGAAGAGAATAGAGAACAGACTCTGACATGGCTATCCTCCCTTGGGAGTGATTTCTCACACTCTCTCTCTGTCTCTCCAGCGAGTGCACACACCCTACAGCAAAAATATCTCTAAAGAAAAAAAAAGAAAAATTGTAATACTTTTGATACCATAAAATTCACCCAGTTGGGGGGGACTGGCAGGTGGCATGGTGGTTAAGAGTGCTGGAGTCCCACATGGCTGATGGTAGTTCGAGTCCCATGTGGCTGATGGTAGTTCAAGTCCCGGACCTGGTGGCTTGCTTTCTCACTTTCTCTCCCCACCACCCCCGTCAAATTAAAATAATAAATACATAAATAAATAAAGTTCAATAAAATAATTCTTTTAAAAAAAAGACATTAAAAATTTATCCAATTAGGGTCAGCAAGTGGCGTGGTAGTTAAGGGTGCTGGACTCCCACATGGCCGGCTGACCGCAATTCAAGTCCCGAACCTGGTGGCTTTCTTTCTTGCTTTCCCTCTCTCACTCAGTCCCTCTCTGGTCAAATTCAAATAAATAATAAATAAATAAATAAAGTTAGATAAAATAATTTTTAAAAAATCAATAAATTTTAGTAAATATATGCAGTTGTGCAATTATAACCACAATGGAACTTTAGAGTAAATCCTGGTGTAATGGTTACACTGCTGGACTCCCACATGGTTGACTGAGGTTTAAGTCTTGGACCTAGTGGTTTAAAAACCACGCCAGGCACATGTGTGTGCATGCTCAAAATCCTGAGAGGAGAATGGAGGAGAAGGGATTGCAGTGTGGTCATCCCCCCTGGGGGGTGATTTCACACTTTCTGTCTCTTTGTCTATGTCTTTCCAAATGAGCCCACATGCCCTA